GACTGAAGTCTCGACAAAGGAGCGGCCACTTTCGAGTATGACTCGACGAATCGCTGATAATATCCAGCCAAACCCATGAACGAGCGTACATCCGTCGTGCAACGGGGTTCCGGCCAATCCACGATGGCTTGGATCTTGTCCGCTAAGGGACGAATGCCTTTCGGCGTGACAAAATGGCCCAAGTACTCAAGCTCTTGCCTGGCGAATTCGCACTTGTCGAGATTCACTTTGTACTTGGCTAGTCGCAAACGATTCAARACAACGCGAAGGTGTACGATGTGCTCGTCCAACGTCCTACTATAAACCAAGATATCATCAAGGTAGATGAGGACGCTGCAATCGAGCAAGTCGCGAAACTCAGTCGTCATYGCTGCTTGAAACGTTGCGGGGGCATTGGTGAGGCCAAATGGCATGACCACCCACTCAAAATGCCCATACCGCGTCTTGAACGCGGTCTTGTACCTGTCTTGAGGCTGAATTTCAATCAGGTGGTAACCTGACTTCAGATCCAACTTYGAGAAGTACGTCGCGCCGCCTAACCGCTCAAGGAGATCATCAATCCGAGGGAGAGGGCCGACATTCTTTACGGTTTGTGCGTTAAATTTCCGATAGTCGATGCATAACCGTAGATCTTTGTTCTTCTTCCGGACGAAGAGAACAGGTGTACCGTATGGCGAGCAACTAGGGCGATTCCAGCCCTTGTCGAGAAGGTCATTGAGTTGTGCGCGAAGCACTTCGAGTTCCTCTTCGCTCATGCGGTAGATACATCCACGCGGAGGGACGGCGCCMGCCTCGAGAGTGATCCCGTGACGTATGGGCCGATCCGGAACCGTTCCGGTGGATGCCTCGAAGACGTCTCTATACTCGTCCAAGAGGTGAGAAATGCGTGGGTCCGGCGGTGACGCGGCTGGTCCGACCGGCGAGGGGAGAGCATGCAAGAATACAAGGCCCATCTCCTCGAYGTCATTCCGAGCAATGGCGTCGCGAATTCTCGCAACGGAAACCACGTGACAAGCAATCGAAGTGTGAGGGGTCGCGACCGTACATGGGACTAACACTCCGTTCCGATCATGGGTGTGAACGGTTCGGTCATGGAAGTTCACYGGATGATCGGCGCTACGCAACCAAGACATGCCTAGAATCATGTCGAACTTGGTGTCGAGGATGTCAAAAGACACCGGCTCGCACGCAAGTGGCGCAAAGTAGACCGGAACGCCGTCAACGCATCGGTCAGTTGCCTTTTGCGTGCGGCCGTCCGCGAGCGTAACTTGCGTAGGTTGCGTCTTTCTTCGAACGCGCGGGCCAAGACCTGCGCGGGCCATAAAGGCTTGACTMAYGAASTTGCRAGAYGSTCCGCAATCAATCAAGGCACTACAGGTTGCCTTTCCGATTTGAATGCGGATATAGAGCAAAGGTGCGTCGGTTTCGGCGTACCTTTGGGTGGCGTGCTCGCGGTCGATCTTCGCAAGATAGGAGCGGAGATCGGCAACC